TAGCAAGGAATGAATTGATACACACAACAATATGGGTGAGTCTCAAAAACCTTATGCTGAGTGAAAGAAGTCAGACACAAAAGAATATAGAAGAGGCAGAACAAATCCATGTAGATAAATAGTAATTACTTCTGGGCAGGGGGAGGCACATGAAGCTGGGTGATAACAATGCTGTATATTTTGATTGGTTAAAAATCATTGACTTGTGCACTTAATATCTGTGCATTTTCTTACATGTATTTATACCCCATTTAACCCCTGCACACACACATGCATACAGTAAAAACTGAAGTTCACTTTATTCCTCAATCCCATTCCCTTCCTCAGCGATAGCCATTGTAAACAAGCCATTGTAGACTGGAGTGGGGTTTCCAGGAGTTTCCATTTACATGCATGTGTGTATATATACATCCAGATAGGCTTTTATATTTAAATATTAATAAGATCAGGCTACATGTATTATTCTGCTACCTGCTTTCTTTTTTGGTTAATGTTATGTCTTGAAAGATTTTTCATATTCGTACTTCATTTTGCCTTAATCTTTTTAGCTAGCCTGATTCCATGTTCTGAATGTACTTAATTTCTTCAGTCAGTTTCCTTCTGATGGACAATTAGGCAGTTTTCTTTTCTTTTTCTTTTTTTGGTCCTTTTTGAGACCAGCCGCACCGCGCTCAGCCAGTGAGCGCTGTGAGCACACTGGTCATCCCTATATAGGATCCGAACCCGCGGTGGGAGCGCTGCTGCACTCCCAGCACCATACTCTCCCGAGTGCGCCATGGGCTCGGCCCCAATTAGGCAGTTTTCAAATGTTCACTTTTATAGTTGTAATGAAAGTGTTTGTACACACATATTTGTGCACATGTGCAAGCATTTTTATAGGCTACTATCCTAAAAGAAGGGTTTGCTTGGATAAAAGTTATGTGCCTTTGATGGATACTGCCAAATGGATTTCCCAAAATGGCTTTTTTAAAAATTATGCTCTTTCTGACCACATGTGAGAGAACCAGATTTCTGCATCCTCCCCAACAATGAGTATTATCAATCTTTTAAAGTATTCGAGAGCAGATGGATTTTAAAAATGGCATCTTCTTGTTTCTGCTGAGATTTTAAAAGAAGTTTTCGATTTTCTCCTACATACACAATTATATATATGCCCTTGAAGAAATGTGTGTGCCTCCTGTCCAATACTCCTAGCTATGTAACTCTAGAGATTTCAAAGTCTGATACATTCTCATAGGCAAGTTAGGGAACACTTTCTAGTTTTAATTTGGCAGACTATTCTACTGAAAATAGCAGGATTCTGTTCTCTCTTACATTCTTTCTTAATATGGTAGCCATTGTTGACCTTGATTTCTGTTGGAAATTTTTTATTTAATCCAAATTCCTTAATAGTGGCTGAATTTTTAAAAATGACATAATTAGCTTTATGAAACTGCTTTATGAAGCTGATCAATGTAAATTGAACATTGAAATACATATTTAATATATATACCATACCCCACTATATTTTCCAACTCTTCCTTCTCCCATAATTGCTTTTGTCTTTTTAAATTTTGCATCTTGGATATATTTTTGATGGTGTTTCCTTGGAAAAAAATTTACTCCAAAGAAACTTTTCTGAAGATACAGCAGCTCAGCCTCTGGGAGAGCCTTGGAATTGCCCAAGTTGCCAAGTGGGTGGGAGTTTGGAAAAGAGGTGTCAATGACACTTTCTTCTGGGGTGGTATAGCAAGAGGGTGTTGTAGTCTGCACGCTCAGGGGCCCTCCCTTCCAGATTTTAGGGACAGTTGAGAGCTGCACTGAGTTTACTCAGTGTCGGTTTACTTCTGCAGGTGGGGGAAAATGTGAAGACTGATAGGCCACTTAACCGACTTTATTCTCGGAAATGCTGAAGTTGTTTCTAGCAAAAATCACTTGTGGTCATTTTTTTTTTTTTTTTTTTTTTTCACTGAGCATCACACAGATTCTGTGGGGGCATTTTCTTTTCTTTAAGGACATTTTTCTCCAGAGCAATTTTTCTTTTCCTTTTTCACTTTCAGGCAAGCTTTTATTATTAGAGGAATGGGTTTGACTGCCAGAAATGAACTTGAAAACCATGGCACAACTGCAGGGGAGAGTGCATGCTTTATATATTGCTATTGACAGTCACAGCTACAAAGACAAGATGATCATTCTTATCACCTTCCTCTGCATTGGTCTCATCAGCCCAATCCTAAACAGCACCATTCCAAACCCAACTTTTCTTTTTAAACCACTGGTGTCTTAAATAAGGCAGCATTTGAAGGAATGGTTGGAGAATGTTGAAGAGAGGCCTCCATCACAGTGTCAGAACCTCAGTTTTCCATTTTTCTTAGCACTCATTCTTAATTCAGGAAAGCTTTAAGAGACACATGGATTTGAAATTTGTTTTTTCTTTTTGGATTGAAAAAGCATTGCTGTATCCCTGAAAGTAAGGTCTGTATGTTCAGACTGCTTCAGGAACTTTGTTGGAGTTCTTTATACAAATGATGTTTGTAATAATATCTTTTATTTATCACTGGTACTGGGGGTGGGGGATCATTTAGCAGTTGATTCTATTTAACAGTATACTTTAAAGTAAAAAAAAGTATTTCTTTGTAAAAATGTCCTCTAATTAAACAATCTCACTAATCATACTCACCTCTCTATCACTTCCTCTTACTGAGCACTGGCCTTCTTTCCTAAGGAACTGAAAAATCTGCTTGCCCTGGGTTAGTGTGAACTTTGGAAAAACTACGTCCTCCTTCAGTTGGGAAACAAGAGGTTGTCCTTAACATCTTTACAGTAACCAAAAGATAATTTTCTGGGCCGGCCCGGTGGTGCACTGCTACAGTGCGCCGCTTGGGAAGCGTGGTGGCGCTCCCGCCGAGGGTTCGGATCCCACATACAGACCAGCCGCTCACTGGCTGAGTGAGGTGCGGGAGCAACACCGAGGGTTGTGATCCCCCTTGCCAGTCCCGGCCCGGTACGGGCGCGACACTGAGGGTTGCGATCCGTTGCCGGTCACGAAAAAAGACAAAAAGGGAAAAAAAAAAGATAATTTTCTAAAAGCAGATTAGCATGTAGGCTTGAGTTGGTGGTTTCATATGTGTATGTTGTAAAAATGGGGAAATATCAGAGAAAAATGCAATCCAAGTAATGACCAAGGACATGGTTATTTTATATTGCCTTATGTCATCCTGAGTGCCACCAGAATATTTAAATCACTGCTTCAGTTGCTACTATGAATATTCATAAGGAGACAAAGTGTTCAGAATGTATTTATTAGCAGAATTCCTAATAGAAGATTATTTGACTGAATAAACAATTTTCTTGAACTTCATTTTCTTGGGGTGGGAGAGAATGGGGAAGTGCATAATTTTATGAGGTCTAGAAATAAGAGTTTCTTATGAAGAGCTGTTTTCATTTGATTTTTAATTGTTTCAGTTTGATACGTTCACTGTTTAGCACCTAGTTCTCATCTTGTTTATATTTCCAAAAGAGCAGTGATTCTCAGGATGCTCATTTGGGTGTCAGGGCTCAGTAGCAAAGAGAGGGGGAAAAAGATCAGGAGGGACCCCAAAGATTCTTCCCCTGGCCCTCCTCTTTGGAGTCACTGCTCCTGAGCCCTATGTCCCCCACCCTTGAGCCTCCTCATGTGTTGGATTAGATTTATAACAGCTGCCATGGACATGGTTGCCTAAGTCTGTGGAATGTTTTGCTAAATGCTGCTGGTGAAATAGTCTACATTAAGCCCGTAACTCCTGTTTTTTTCTGGGTTTTTTTTTTTTTTTTTTTTTTTTTTTTTTTTTTTATCTTTCTTTTTTCTTTTTTTTTTTCCCCCTTTTCCCTTTTTTTTTTTTTTTTTTTTTTTTTTTTTTTTTTTTTTTTTTTTTTTTTTAACTCATCCTTTATCCTTAGTCTTTTACCCACTTGATCACTTTATGATTTTGCACTTTGACATCCTATTAGGTTCATTAAGAACTTTTTCTCTAAGCACCAGAACTTTGTTTAACATTATGGTTAGCCAAACTGTTATTCTGTTTGAGCTAAGTGATGACAATGTATTTGATTGGAGCCTTGTAATTGTTATTTTAAAATCAAAGTAATGGGGCCGAGCCCGTGGCGCACTCGGGAGAGTGCAGCGCTGGGAGCGCAGCAGCGGGTTCGGATCCTATATAGGGATGACCGGTGCGCTTACAGTGCTCACTGGCTGAGGGCGGTGCGGCCGGTCTCAAAAAGGACCAAAAAAAAAAAAAAAATCAAAGTAATGGATTATGATCTAAGAATAAGAACATGATCCAAAAGAATAATAACAATTAGAACAGCAACCAGTTAGAAGAAAATAAATGCCACATCATGGACTTCAAAAGCCTGTGTGCCCAGACTCTGCCTACTTTTGCAGTTCCATCTCCTGCCTACCTTTTCCTCACCCAGGGATAGCCTCGCTGCAGCCTTCCACTTTCCTTGAAATAGTCAGCTCCTTTCCTGCTTTGGGAATTACGTGTGTTGTTCTGGCTAGGTGGGGAGCTCCTCCACTGGCATTTCTCTTGGTTTGCTCTTTTGAGTCTCAACCACAATCTCACTTCCTTAGGGAGGCCTCCCCTGGCCACAGTGTCTAAAGCCATCTCCACCCACCCCCTACCTGTTCACACATGCATGTCATCCTTTCTCACAGCATACTGTTTATTCCCTTCAACATTAGGGAACCTAAGTTGTGTTTCCCTGGTACTTGTCTGTGTTACCCACTGTACTCTAAGCCCCATAAGGGTGAAGATTATACCTGTCTCATTTACCACTGCAGTTTCAGTTCCATTCTGGCATGTGGCATTGAGTCAGTGCTTAATACATATTTGTGGTGGAACGAATGGAATATTCTTAGGTCCCAACTTTTTCCTGAGCCCATATCAAGATATTCTATGCTTAGTACTTAAAGAATCTATTGTGATAATATATGATCTTCTAGTGGTTGAATTTAATCAAGCTGTGCTGGCTTTTCTCAGGCATATGAAGGATCAGAATAAGAAGGTGGCCAACCTCAAGCACAATCAACAGTTGGAAAAGAAGAAGAACGCCCAGTTATTGGAAGAAGTCCGCAGACGAGAAGATAGCATGGCTGACAACTCACAGCATTTGCAGGTGAGCCCTAGCTTCTCTTTTAATCCCTAAGTAATTGCAGATTGACTCTCTCTGGAATGTAGCCATTGCTGTGGGAAAGTATGCACAGACACGGTGGACTTGTCTGTGCCCTGAGTCCAGCACTAACAGCAAACTCCCAGGGAACCCAATAGGTCTTTCTGAGTATGGAGCATCATTTTCAAAATGGTGCCCAAGAAAAGCAGCTTATGGAGGAGCCTAGAAATGCTGCAGAGAGTATCTTCGTTCCTGTACCTCACCTTAAAAGGTAAGGGCTGCATTTATATAGTTGGCTAGATGCTTAAAACATAGAAATACCTTCCTTTTCAATTTGCATTTAAGTCATTTTGCAGTTGATGGAAAGGAAATGTGTGTGTATTATCACTAAGTATTTGGAAAAGGATGCAAAACTGGTTTTGTTTTTTTCAAAACTTGTAGGCTTAGAGACAGATCATTATTCTGTCTTCTCCACAAATGTATTTATCTCTGAGTGGACAGCCCTGTCTCAGAAACAAACCAGCCAACTGAAAACACCAATATTCCCTCATTAACCATCTCTATTTTTCACAAAGGAGCTCTCTGCATGTGTTCAATAAAACATTCAAGCTAGAACAGGGCATTTGCTTTGAAGTTCCTTTATTTATTCCAGTGTGCCTTTAAACAGAGCAGTTCAAGCTTGACTTGGCCAGAGTTCATGTTAAATTTTGCTTATTAATTAGTGTTTTCTCCAGTTATATATCAGGTTTCCTCCTTGGAGATAGAAGAAGTTAGATAATTTCAATATGCACTCATAGTTCATCTTTTTAATTGACCAAAAGAGAAATAAATAATTATTCCAGAGTAGGAAATATACAGAAATATCTTACACAGAGCATAGCACATGGGGGTTACTTCGTCAACAATAGTTTCTTTCTCTTTTTTTCTGTGTCCTAGACGTGCCTTAATGGTATTACTTAAGCCCACATTGCATGGATGCTTGATTTAGAGTATTTACGGAATAGCACAATACTCTGGTCAGGTCCTGTGTTAGGTTCTGGGACCAGGTTCGCATTGACCAGTCACTTAGCTGAGTCCACAACTTCCTCAGTGCTCTTGGCAAATCATGTCCTTGGGTTTTGGGCCTTAGTTTTTCTATGTCATAGGAGATGTTAGATTGGAGGCTAAAGACTGAGTTAACAACTACTAGTAAAATTTGTAGAACATTTTCCTGTCTTTCCAGACATATATTCTCATTTATTCCTCACAACGTTGGTGGATTTTACATATGGTGAAAGGAGAATCTCAGAAAAGTTACAAAGTTACATTATAGTAAAGGGTGGAGGTGGACCTGACTTCAGGTCTTCCTGCCTTCAGGAAGCTAATGTTGAGGAACGATAGCAGTGGTAGGTCCCATTTATTAAATGTTTCAATAGGCTGGGCCCTGGGCTGTGTGCTGTATTGTAGCTATTTCATTTAATTCTTATGTCTACTGGGTTATCAGAACTCTTAAGTGCAAGTGACAGGAACACAACTCAATCTGAACTAAGAAAAAGAGGAAATCTGTTGGCTAAATTAACTGAAAAGGTCAAGGGAAGACTTTTGACCTGCCTGGTTTCAGATATTCAAACAATGGCCTCAGGAATTTGTTTCCATCATACTTACAGGTATGCTTTCCTCTTTGTTGACTTGATTCTCAGGAAGGCTGTCCGTAAGTGTTGGCCACCAGCAACCAGCCTACATTCTAAGAGTGCAGTCATCCCAGGGGAAAAAGAGAGGTTCTTTTTTAGTAGTTCTTGCTAAAGTTCAAGGATAGAATGTATAAATTGGCCAGGCCAGGGTCAGGTCATGTGATCACCTGGAGCCTAGGGGTGGGGGTCAGCTTCACCCAAATCCCACAGGTGAAGAGCAGGGACAGGTGACATCACACAAGAAAGAAATGAGTTCTGTTACTGGAAGGGATTCTGAGCAGATAGAACCACAGAGATCCACTCCAGCCATCATATGGGGTACATTAACTATTATTATCTCCTTTGATTTGTGAGAAGGAGGCTCTGAGAGATGAAATAACTTGCCCGGTATTACTTGGCTAGTAAGTGGCAGAGCCAGGACTTAAACCTAGATCTGACCATCTGAAGAATTAGGAAGGTAAGAAAATTGTGGGGTGGCTGAGTGTCTTCATGGATTAGGTGGGGACTGGAGCTGCATGAGTTTAACATGGGAGAGACAGAGAAGTGCAGAAGGCCCTCCAGGCAAGAGGACTTTCAGAAAAGGTACAGAGGTTGGAGAGTAAAGTTCAGTCAGGGCACAAAACATAACACACCAATTGGTTGTGGTGACAGTTTTCAGTGAAGTAGGTGGTGTTATCTTTCTTTAAGTGACTCTGGAGCTGGAATGCCTGGGTTTTATTCCAAGCTTTAAAATTTAACAACTGAGTGTCCTTGAGAAGGTTATTTAGCCTCCCTAAGCCTCAGTTTCCCCATCTGTAAAACAGGAATAATAATTGCATCTACTCCAGAGTTGTTGTTAGGGTTAAGGAGTCAATGCATATAAACAATTTAGAATTGTATTTGGCACAGGCTATGCTCAAAATAAGTGTTAATTATTAACTGTTGTGATAACAAGTAAAAGAAACGTTAAAAGAAAAGTTCTCTATTATATGCATAGGTATTTATACAGCTCTACTCTGATATGCACTGAGCATCAAAGTTTTTGTCTTTTCTATACATAGTAATTTCTTCTTTTTTAAGGACATATTTAATTACGGAAATTAATGTCTTGTTTTGGCCCATGAAGTTTTGTATAGCAATATTTTCATAAAGGACCTTGATAACTACCTCGTAGACTTATTCATAAAAGTTAGCATTGTCTGGAATTGCTTAGTTAAATCCCTGACCACCCCAAATAAAAGATAACATTTGAAATGCAATAAAATGTAATCACAATTAATTTTGATGAAAATGTCTTTGGTTAAGGTTAATAGAAAGTGGACCTCCCACTTTCCTGGGTTGTTAAGCAGATGTGCTCAGATGCAGTAATTACTGCCTTCTGATAAAAATAACTTTCTAAAGGCACTTGGTTTTTTAATATTGCTGTTGTTTTAAGCACTTCCTGTTTATAAATTAGCCTACTAAGCCCTTTAAGTGTGTCAACCAGGATTTGGTTTGGTTGGTTGGTAGTTGTGGGATTGGTACCTTCTAAATTTGATTTATTCTGCACTGTTTTGTGCTGATTGGATACCCTGGCTTCATGATTTCAACCAACCAAATAGAAATTATATCCAGAAAAATATCAGGTAAAGTATTGCCTGCAACAATAATGGCTGTTTCATCAGGCTTCAAAGGAGAGCTCAAAGAGATTCAACTAGTTGGTATGAAAATTGGAGACAAAGTTAATTGTAGATAGAGTGACCATTGTTATTTATTGTTCAAACTAGGACATGTGGCAATAGGCAAAAACTGGGCCACCTCAGTCAAATCTAGATATATAGTCATGATACAAAACATTTCACAAATCTGACCTTCTTTAGTTCTTTAGTTTATAGTTTCATGGCAGGAATTGCAAACTCAAATGCCTTAAGGGTCTAGGCTGTTAATATAAGTAAGATACAGATTTGTGTATAAGAAAAATGATAATGTCTGATTCTTCCAGCATGCCTTTTATTATTTATTTTTGGTGGAGATGTATCAGTCAGGAATTGCCATAATAATGCTGTGTAACAAATCACCCCAAAACTCAGTGACTTTAAAGCATCAATAGTTTATTCTCAAAGATTTTCAGGTTGACTGAGGGGCTCAGCTGCTCTAGGCTGGGCTGGGCTGGGCACTTCTGCTTCTCAATGCATGTCTGTGGTGTGGCTGGAGCAGCTCTGTTTCATATGTGTTCATTCTGAGGATCAGGCTCAAGAGGCATCAGCAACCCAGGAAAAACACTTCTAATGACAATAGCAGAGACACAAGAGGCTGAGCAAAAACATTCAAGGCCTCATAAGGCCTAGTCTTGAGCTGACACTGAGATTTCCACCCCACTACACTGGCCAAAGCAAGGTGTATAACTGAGTCAAGGATTAGGGACAAACACTCTACCCATGAAGAGAACACTGTAAAGGGGCAGATGCAAGGAGGGGTGAAGAAGTGAGGCCGTTCATTCAATCTATCAAAAGAGGAAAGTGTTGGAGAAATATTTCTCTGTTATAAAAAACAACAACATAAGCATACTGAAAAATTTCAGCTGTGATTGGCCTTAGTGTGTGGATATAATTGAGAGTGGCGGGGACTGGGGAGGAACTCCAGAGCCCTTGCTTCATCTAAGGGAGTAGGAAGCACTAAGTTCTGGTTGGACATTTTTGTAAAGGTGGGCCTAGTGTTGTGTGACCTTCAGAGTGTCCAAGATAAGTCATAAAATGTAAATTTTTATGTGAAATCCATGGATTTTAGAAAGTTGGTTCAATTTTTAAAGCACTTTGTGGGTTCAGTGAAACACATCTGCACATGAATTGAACACTGGTTGTGTCCTCTGTTGCATAGCCTGGCAATGTGATCTCGCTGGATTCACATGGTGGAAATAAACAGATGAAGACAAAGAGTGTACCCCAGCTAGCTCAGCTTGACCCATTGAAGAGGTGGTGGTTTAGTATTTGTCCTGAGACCTCTTTTTGTGTGAGAATACCTTGAATTATTGTTTCTCAGTGGATATCACCCACAATCTATAGGAATAGTGAGTGTTCTTGATTTAACTTCTTAAATCTTGTTGTTTTTTTTCTTTTTTTGTTTTTGAGCATGGATAAGGAGAACAGGGAGGGAAGGATAAAGAGCCATGGAGTTGAACTGTCCAGTGTTCAAATACTGGCCCTTATTATTATTAGCTCAGGGCCTCAAATGAGGCAGAAAAGCACCCTGATCCTTACTTTGTTCATCTGCAAATGGGAATTACGATCTCTGCCTCTCTGGGTGAGTTAAGTAAAATGAGTGAGGTTTATGAAGGAGCCTAGTATAGTACCTGACCTATGTGGAGTTTAGTTACTAGAG